TGTCTTGTAGCGTTTCACTGAGAGAAGAGGATTTGGAGGTTGACAAACGTGAGGGAGGGCGATCTCTTCAGGAAGGAATTCACTTGGGTGGAAGAACGAGAATTGGAGAGCTATGGGTTATGAAGGTAATGAAGAAGCAGTTGAATGAATGAGCTCCTCTTCATTTTAACGAGAATAGCTTGCATTTAGCGAGACGAGCGTCATCCGTCAGACTCCAAAATTATTTCAGCGGGATTCAAGGAATTTTGACGGGGTTCAGAGCAGGATTTCAGGATTTAGACGCCAAGTCCAACAAGAAATCAAGAGATCTATGCATGATTCACTCAGATGATACGAGGTAAGACTTTAATGTGATTTTAAATTTGTTTTGACTTTTTTTTTTATAAATTAATACTAATTCAATATCATTAATATTATTAGCAATTTCGAGATATAGTCATGTGTTAAATTCAAAAAGAGATGCCTTGATTTGCGTGTATTTTTGCCTTGGGATGCGTGTCGAATTTGCCGAATAGAGACATTAGACAAATTGATAGTGCATTTAGGGTATTGCCGATATCCCGATCGCAACGACGTAGTCCATTTTGTGATCGGATTTAATTTTATCACCGACGAGGCTAATTTCTCTCGTAACGCGTGCCTTTGCATCATATTTGGATCACCTTTGAAATTTGCGACACCACATCAAACGATCCAATTTGCTCAAATAAAATATAGACTCTTAATTCCAACGACGTTCCAGACGCAACAGCGCCATCCGTTTTGCAATCAAACATCATTTCGTCATCGACTAATTTCCCTCGTAATGCATGCCTTTGCATCATATTTGGATCGTCTTTGAAATTTGTGACACCACATCAAACAATCCAATTTGATCAAATAAAATGTAGACTCTTAATGCCGACAACGTTCCGGATGCAACAGCGCCATCCGTTTTGTAATCGGACATAATTTCATCACCAACGAGGCTAATTTCCCTCGTAATGCGTGCCTTCACATCATATTTGAATCTCCTAGAAATTTTTCATATTTTAAAGGTTGTGGATTCTTGATGTGCAAAGCCCATTCATATTCTTTAACTCCCAACTCTATACCCACTTGCATCTCATAGTGATCCCGATTAGGACATTGATCAAAAGAGGGAAGTGAATGCAAATGTCTGAACTTTCCAATCCTCCATAATATATTAAGCTCGATTGATGTAGCAAATCATATCTTGAAGCATGAAAGACCCCTTCTTTTTATTACCGACTCGTCAAAGAAAGATTTTTTTTTGAAAACATCAAAATAACTCTTAATATTGTCCATGGTCTTTCCTTGAAAACCAAAAAAAGCTGGATGATATGCAGTGCAATCTACATTCGGGTTGAGTCATCATTATGAGGAAAATTAGCCTCGTCGATGATGAAATGACATCCGATTGCAAAACGGATGGCACCGTTATGTCCGGAACGTCGTCGGCATTAAGAATCTACATTTTATTTGATCAAATTGGATTGTTCGATGTGGTGTCACAAATTTCAAAGGCGATCCAAATATGATGCAGAGCACGCGTTACGAGAGAAATTAGCCTCGTTGGTGACAAAATGACGTCTGATCGCAAAACGGACTACGCCGTTGCGACCGGGATATCGGCAATATCCTAAATGCACTATCAATTTGTCTAATGTCTCTATTCGGCAAATTCGACATGCATCCCAAGGCAAAAATACACACAAATCAAGGAATCTCTTTTTGAATTTAACACATGATTATAGCTCGGAATTGATAATAATATTAATGATATTGAATTATTATTAATTTATAAAAAAGGATTCAAAACAAGTTTAAAATTGCATTAAAGTCTTACCCGTATCCTCTAAGTGAATCCTGCGTAAATCTCTTGATTTCCTGCTGGACTTGGCGTCTAAATCCCGAAATTCCGCTCTTAACCACATCAAAATTCCTTGAATCCCGCTGAAATAATATTGGACTTTGATGGACGTCGCTCGTCTCGCTAAATGCAAGATATCCTCGCTAAAATGAAGATGAGCTTATTCATTCAACTGCTTCTTCGTTACCTTCATAACCCATAGCTCTCCAATTCCCGTTCTTCCACCCAAGTGAATTCCTTCCTGAAGAGATCGCCCTCCCTCACGTTCGTCAACCTCCAAATCCTCTTCTCTCAGTGAAACGCTACAAGACAGTAGGTCAAAGAACCTCACCCAGATTTCTCATGCTTTGTCCGAACTACTCAGGGCCGAACTTCAGCCGTCTACGAGCCAACACCAGTCCACCACAGTCGGTCTCCCCCTCTGAGTCCCGATTTGATTCCACGGCAAGGCTTCCAAACGATATTTTGGCTGATCCTTCAGCTCGTGGACAGCAAGCTTGCCTTCCTCCCCCACCCGCACAAGGATCTACACTGGGTGAAAGAGTCGAAGTTAGCTAAGCAAAGATTCAAGGCTTTCTTCTTTCTATTATACAGCAAAGGTCGCGACAGCCTGTGTTTCCCTTTGCTTTTCTTGTCTTTAACACGTTATAGCAACAGTCTTTTGCTTTTATTGCTGCTTACTTTTTTATTTTTGGCATATATCAATGGGAATCTTCGCTTTATTCCAACACCAGAGATTTCAAACATTCACTTGATACTCCATATACAAATGTCCTCTACTCTGCACAAAAGACAAATCTCTACCTCCATCCACATGAAATCAATCTTTGTTCACATTCACATGAAAAAACTTTTATTTTATTTTATTTGCAATGGCATTCTCCATATCCTGCAGCCCATTGGATTCATTTCAGCAACTTTGTAATAGTTTAATAGTTTCATTTCCCTCACTAGTGCAGCTCAATACATAGCTGTCAAATCCCATTTACTTTTCTTTATTCCCTCACCACACCTTTCCTGCACATGAAACTACCTCATATTTAAAATAAAAAAAAAAGCTGAGAAAGTAGACAAAGGGGTACAGATTCCTATTCTTTTTGCTTAGTATTATAGCTGATATGAATTAATGTTATTATATATATATATATATATATAGTGTGTGTGTGTGTGTGTGTGTGAGAGAGGTAAAAAAAAAATGCAAACAAAAAAGATGCAAAAAAAAAGAAAGCAAAAAAAAAAGTTTAAAAAAAAAGGAGAAAACCAAAAAAAGAATGATTTTTGTGCATCTCACGGTCGTCGCCAACCATCGCGAAGGTATGAATTTTCATCTCAAATTCTCATTTAGCCGTTCGCGGCGCACCGGCAAACCGCCCATACACGCTTTTCTCTAGCATGGTGGGAAGGGAACTCGGTGCAATCATTTAAAATCTCTTTTTTGACGTTTTTGTTGAGCCGGAAAACCGCCCATACACGCTTTTCTCTAGCGTGGTGGGATGGGAACCTGGTACGACGCCTACGGCAAGACAGAAGTACTGATTGCAACGACGTTGTCCATTTGGCATTCGAAGGTCATTTGACCCCTTAAGTGATGCATTTCGTCAATGAGCGCATTGCCTAAATCATCGTTTTTCGCCTCTTTTTGCATGGTTTTATGTGTAGGGGTCAACAAATGGTTTGGGTGCTCGAGCGAATTGAGTATTGTTGCGAGCTAGAATATTCATAGAGGTAAAGTGAGTAAACTTTTCGTCTTAGCGATGCACGGATATTCAATACATAAACAAAGAGAGAGAGAGAGCAGTAAAACACCCAATTTTTTACGTTAAAAATTCGAGAATGGAAAAACAACGGGGCCTCGCCCATGTGAAAAGATTCTACTAAATTTGATTGATTATAAAGGTTGACCCATCCCTTGACTTAGAAACGGTCGAATTACAGTAGTTTGGAGAGTTTGGCAAAGGTCCGATGACAGTCGGGTGGAAGTTTGATGGTTCTTGCTTGACCTCACTTCACTGCCACTGACCTCCTCTCCTCATTCTCCCTCTCTCTCTCTCTCTCACACATGCTCTCTATCTTTATTCCTTATTATCTCTCTACCTCTCTCTTTCTTTATCTTCTTTTTTCTCTCTCTGTCTCACTCTCACTCTCATTTTTTCTCTCAAAAGGTCTGGAGGCTTACATTTCGACTTATTGATAGAAAATACCTCGGTACTCAAATGAAAAGAAATTCCACCATATCCAAAACAAAAATATTATTTGCGCTATTAACTATATTATATTATTTAGAATTCAATCAATTCATATAGTAATAAATAGAAGAAAAAACAAACAATAAAAAACATAGTAATAAACTCCTAATAAATTACTAATATGTTGTCAACAAAATAAAAAATAAATTACTAATAAATGTTTAATAATTTTGCTAACAAAATTTTTTTTTTGTTAAAAAATAAAATAAAATTTGCTAGCAAACTTAATGGCATTGGCTAAACTAATCCTAACAAAATAGATTGAACAGATATGAAATAACTCAAATACCTATGACAATATAAAGTCAAAATTTATGCTTGCATCAACACTTCCAAGTTGAAATAGTGAAAACATGCTTTTGTTGTAGGATTAATCCTAGCATATTGTTGGTTTTATCATTTATTGATGGTTGAAGAAAGGGCATTTCCTCCATGCACATATTGTTGACAATAGGAAAAATGAATTACTAAACCTAACGAACAACAAAATTGGCCGTGAAAACTTCAAGAAAATAACTTTTTTGCATTGCTTCAAACTAATTCCAACATCGAGAAGTTGCCATACAATGAGAATCCAAATGGATACCAGAAATAGCGTATCAATCCAGCAAAAGCTGAAGAAAAAATGTAGGCAAGGAGACATCCAAGCACAATCTTCCTATATGTGATGCCTTGCAAAACCTAAGATCCCAAACGCAAGTTTTCCTCTTGGTTAAAGCGACTGAGACGCCTTCAAATTCATCAAGAAGGGTGTAAAAGGATGTACATTTGAATCATCAGGGTCGTCCCCAATCACTAATATATAAGTGCCCAATGTGACAAGCCCCTCTTGAAAATTGTATGATGAACGCAAAAAAACAAAGGTATAGAGGTTAACTCACGGCATCAGAAACAGCAAACCAATGGAAGCTGCGCACAATTGGATCATGCTTTGAAGGGAGAATATCATGATTCCAGTAAGTTATGTTTTGAAACTCCGCACGAGAAGCCCAATTGTTTGCTTCACCCTCCGCAACCTCCGAACACCTCCCTTCCTTGATTTTCTTCTTCTCCAATACGTACCCTGTAAGTATATCAACATATTCCGTTCGTCAAGTAAAAGTTAAATTTCCAAGGACAAATGCAGAGTCCAAAAAAATACCTCGGTAACCATTGGGGATTGGAACAGTAACTCCATGGAGCTTCCTCCCCCTGAAGAATGCCTCCTCCACCGTCAAGCCATCAGCTACCATGTCTATGCCCGACCAAAGGGTTAGGGCGGAGAGGAAGAGTAAAGCCGTTAAGGCAAAGAATATGAATTACCCGACTTTCGCGGTTTGAAGTACTGGGACACGGGACAAGCACCGTCGTGCTTGATAACACAAGGGAGAAGGTGGACGCGATCTGTGAGATCAACAGAGGCAGATGCTTCGCGAGGGCCGAGAGCGATCTTTCCCTTTACCATGCCATCGATGCCGCCACTGCTTGCCCCCTCTCCATCCATGAATCGATCTGGAAAAACCCTACAAACCCTTCTATTACCCTTTCTACTGCTTTGCCCGTCTGATAGCGTTTGAAAAAAGTCCCGCCGGTCTTTTGAATGACCTTAAAATCTACATGGCCGGATCTCGATCAAATGCAAAATTAGGTGTCCATAAATTATTGAGTCGGACACGGGACTTATAGCCTTAGAGCTGCCTGACTCCAATAATAAAAATACGACTTATGGATTATTATATTACAAGGTAGCTTGCCCCCTCTCCATCCATGAATCGATCTGGAAAAACCCTACAAACCCTTCTATTACCCTTTCTACTGCTTTGCCCGTCTGATAGCGTTTGAAAAAAGTCCCGCCGGTCTTTTGAATGACTTTAAAATCTACATGGCCGGATCTCGATCAAATGCAAAATTAGGTGTCCATAAATTATTGAGTCGGACACGGGACTTAGAGCCTTGGCAAATTATTGCATCAGGTCATCGAACACGTTCGGTCCTCTCTGCTACAGTGACCTGCGCTTTACTTTAGACGAACGGATCCTCTCTGTTCGGTGACCTGATGCAATAATTTGCCTAGAGCCTTAGAGCTGCCTGACTCCAATAATAAAAATACGACTTATGGATTAATATATTACAAGGTATTAAGATATATTAATATATATTGGTATATATTAGCTGAGTATTAATTAATACATAGTAATATAAATTAATACACAGTCGTGTATTGTTATGTATTTGTATACATTGATGTGTATGAGTTGTGTATTATTGTGTAATAACTAATACACATCTGATATATAGTTAATACACATCAATATATAGTAATACTTAGTAATACACTAGTTCACGTGTCATATTTTCATTGGAGTTAGGACATAGCTTTACATCTGATGTCTGCACATAATAATTTATCGTGGATAACATAGCCTGGGTGTAAACAATAGAAGTTTAATAGAGCGCTAAGTAGGGGTATAAACCAGCCTAACCGAGTTAAGGCTTCATTTCAGTCAAGGCTTTCTAAAATAATTTTTTACTATACAAATTTTAATTAAAAAAATTATTCTAAAATTTTATTTTAGAAGCAAAAAAAAAAAAAAAGCAATCTCAACAAAATCTTAGTCTTCAAGAAAACTGTATTAAAAATCAACAATAAAGTTATCCCAAATGAAATCTAAGTAATCTCTAATCAACTCCTAATATAAGAGAGAAAATGACTATGATTTAAATTATTATAAAATTTCTAAGATAAATAGTAATTAATTACTTGGTATAAGAAACTGATATAGTTTTTAAATAGCTTTAATAGTTTATATTTGGCTTTCTGAATTTAAATTATAATATATTATCAGCAATTTACTTTGATCTGGCATGGATCTCGAGGCAAATTTTGAACTAGAAATTTTCAAAATTAAATCTGTAATCATCTGAACTTCGATCTCAGCAAAACTTATAATTGAATTGAATGTTTCAAAAAATGAAAATGTCTTCAAAAATGAATCCAACGACCCCAAATTCAACTCAATCCGAGCCCAAATGGATCCAAATCAAATACTTGAAGTACCTTTGGAAAGTTCAAACCGTAAATTGGATGACCAAATGATTTCCAAACATGACATGCTTATAGTTGAATCGAGCGGCTCGACGGAACAAATCCAACGAGCCTAAGATCACTGAATTCTAATATTATTAAGAGAATGAAATAGCTAGTAAATGATCTACTATTAAAGGGATCAATATTAGTCTTCCATTCAAACCACTCCCAACATTATATTGATCTCTCTCCTATTTATTGGTCAAGTCACTCTTCGAAAATTATACATAGACCTCTCATTTGTAATGAAAGGGGACTCAAGCAAGAAAGAGAAGGAAGAGCTCTCTTCCCACTAGACTCCTCGACCAATGCTTGACCACCAATCGTCGTCGATGAACCTCCACCGATAGTGCTGGACCCCGCTTGGCCACTGATTATTGTCGGACTTCCATCTGATAGTGAATTGTCGCCGAACTGCAACCCCACCAAACCTACCATCATCGGATTCCAGTATGGACCTTTTTTGTTGTTAGATCTCAATCTGATTACCAACTGTTGTTATCTAATTGTGGACCGTTTGCCGGACATTTGAAGGTCTAAATGATACCGGAATTCGGCGATCTTGGGCTCGTTCAATTCTTTTAGTCGAGCCGCTCAATTCGATTATAAGCATGTCATGTTTGGAAACCATTTGGTAATCCAAATTGTGGTTTGAACCTTCTAATAGCGCTTCGGGTCTTCGATTCTGGCTCATTTGGGCTCAGATTGAGTTGAATTTGGTGTCATTGGTTTTGAATTTTCGGGACACTTAGTTCGACTATAAGTTTGCTAAAATCGGAGTCCAGATGATCCCGTATTTAATTTTTGAAGTTTCCAACTTGATTTTTGCCTCGAGATTCGTATCTGATCAAGATAATTTTTTGATGATGTATGAATGATATATGATTCTGAAATGATAATCTCAGTCATAATTGCATTGAGTATATATATAAGAAATTGGGGTATTTATCCGCTGCCACTCCAAATGGAGCATATGGCAGCGTAACTAATCCCTCAGTGGAATCTAACAAGGTCATCCACCCGCATCGGGCCCACACTTGTTTAGCTATTTACTTTTTGAGCATATGTTTAGCTTGTCTGATCACTTTATTAATAATAAGCATATTATTTTATTAATCAAGCATATTATTTTATTCACCAATATAGTTATAGGTTTCGTGTAATTTATTGTGCTATTTGCTCATTCGCCAATGGGCATCTATTACGGTATTACCTTTTTTAAACGGCATTGAACAAACTACAAAGCATTAAATTAGCTCCCGTCTTCCAACTACAAACTCTAAACGCCAACGCGGCAAACAAAATTGGTAAATTGATAGAATGCCTGACAAAACTTGCTGTAGAAGAACATCCTCATATCACCATATGTTTATATGAAAGTATTCATTTATTTGAGTTGTTATTTATCATAAACTATTTGTTAAAAAGAGTCATGCTGAGGTCATTTTCATAAAATTTTGATCATTGTTGCATCCTTGAATTTTCGCGGCAGTAAAGAAATATAAAGTTTAATATCATAGCTTTGTACGAAGAACTAGCACACAATCAGATAAAAGAGAGAGTGCAACATTCATAAGAGACACCAAAGTTTTTTACGTGGAAAACTCTTGAAAATGTGGAAAACCCACGGGGCATGACCCAATTTGAATGAATACGTACACTAGTATTTGCAATCAATTACAAATGAGGCCCTTTCTTGGGGGTAAGGCCTTGGTTTGATGTAGCATATATACATCATACATAGTGCATTACTTGATGTAAATTAGAAGAATCGGAATTGATATGTTCGTTTGATAGCAATGATAGGCAGGACCATAGTCAGCTAGTGACAGCGATCAGAAAGGCCGTTGTATGGCGACGAATGTCAAAAAGGCCGTAGTCGACGATTAAGTGGAAGTCTGGTGTCAATTAGTAGATGGGCAGAAGTCTGGCATCGATTGGTGTATGCTAACTCAATCAAATAAACTGAGGTGACCATAAATTCAAAATCACTTGGTCTATTTCAGCAACACGTGTATGCTAACTCAATCAAATAGCATTGATAAATGACAAACGACACACAACCATTCTAATATTGACCATTCATGAATAAGTAGGTCCAATTTAAGTAGATTAACTAGTTCATATCAATTAAAATTTATAGGATCCCTCCATATGTTCCACACGTCAAATTATTTAACTTGAATGAAGAAGCCTTTGGAATGCATACAAATATAAACACATTAAAGATTTTTTTTTGATGATTTTTTTACTGTTTCTTAAAATATTTTTTTAATACAAAATATATTTTTTTGATACGAAGAGAAAAATAGAACACAAATAAAAAGCTGAGGAGACATCATGGGGTACTGAAATATGTCGATTAATAAATCAATGGAGGAATGCTCTGTTCATTTCTAAAAAGATTGTTTGGATCTGTCTTAGATTTGACATACGCCAGCTTCTTAAAGTTGATTTTGTAATATTTTTTTCCCCAAGCTTCAGCGTTCTTGTAGCTTATCAACCCTTTATTGTTTCGTCCCAAGTCAAGATCCCTGAAGTTAAGGTAAGCAGCTCGAGGTTTCTTTGAAACAAATGGAGCCATGAAATTGTAAAACCCCCTCAACCACTCAGTATTCTTCCTTGCTGCAATCTCTCCAGCCTCCGTCCACGCCGCAACATATTGTACGAGGTACTTACTTCCATTTCTGTGAGGAAATGGAGTCTCAGTCTCTGCTATCTCTGCGACCTTTCCTCCCAATGGCTCAATTATCATCACAAGCAGCTCATCTTCTTTGAGAATATACTTCCACATCTTCTCCCAACTCTGCTCTACAATGGGCTCGGTTACTATATCAGACTTCACTTTAAAGGATATACTTAATAATGTCGGAGTTCTATCTAGCAAACTACTTAAAGACAGATTACTATTTATGTTCGGTACAGGATAGGTGGAGAAGACGAGTAGGGATTCAATCCAACTCATCTCTTTACAGTCCTTATCGGTCACCTGTAACTCAGGTAAGCTTTGCTTCATGATCGAAAGCAGCTCTGTCATCTCACCCAAAAACAATCCGTTAAAAGTGGTTTGCACAGTCTTACTCACCACCGTCAACGTTGCGCTGATGTACAGTCTCTTGTCGGCTCTATAAGCCACCTGCTGCCATTTCGCGATAGCTTTGGTGGTGCCCGGAGATAAAGTTGAAGTTTTTGAGAAAACTGTGACCTTTGGAGGGACTGGAACAAGTTTTATCTTATATGCGAGTATGACTCCAAAGCTCGCACCGCCTCCTCCTCTTAACGCCCAGAATAGATCCTCTCCCATTGATTCTCTTTCCAAGATCTTTCCATTGGCATTAATGATGCGAATGTTCACGACGTGGTCGGCGGCGATGCCATGCTCTCTCATGATGGTCCCAATGCCTCCGCCACTTATATGCCCGCCGACGCCGACTGTTGGACAAAATCCAGCAGGGAAGGCCAAAGTTCGGCTTTTTGATGCGATGGAAAAGTAAAGCTCGCCAAGCGTGGCGCCGGATTGCACCCAAACAGTGTTATCGGCATTAAATGAGATGGAGCGGAGATTGGAGAGGTCGAGTATGAAGAACGGGCTGAAGTTGGTTGAGTACGAGAGGCCTTCATAGTCGTGGCCGCCACTTCTGGTTAGGAGTTGGAATTTGAGGTGTTTAGAGCAGAGGACGGCGGCTTGGGCGTGAGATTCCTGTGATGGGGTGATGATGAGAATTGGTTTGGTGGAGCGGCTGTCGAAGATGATTCGGCGGCTTTGGGCCGAGGAGAGCAGAGTGGCGGTGAAGTTAGTGGATTTGGGCGTGAAGATGAGGGTGTCAGGAACGGAGTTTTTGAGGAGGCATTGTTGGAGGGAGTCGTCAGAGGGGATTGGAGAGGGGTGAACAGAGGTGCCGGAGATGGAGGGTGGGAGGAAGAGCAGAGAGAGTAAGAGAGGGAAGGAATAACAAATAACAGGTGGGAGATTCATTTTGCTGTCAAGAGGATTTAGCCAACTTGGCTTGTGATTAGGTTTGGAGGTTCTGGATACATTTATAGGGAATTTGCGGCAGCTTATGAGTTTGGTGAGAAATTTACGTTTGTGAATACATTTATAGGTTATAACTTATAAGTTAGGTGAAAATTTTAAGTTTTTGATATATTTTTAAATATCAATTTGAATAGTAAGATATATTATTTTAAGTCATTATTATTATTAAAAATTTGTAATGATATATTTCAATATGAATAATTTTAAATATGGCTAAATCCCCTATGAAATTAAATTTGAATATAATTAACATTGTTCTTGTTTCATGCTAGAAAATTATGTTAATAGAGTTGAAATTTTTATATCTTCGTTTTGAATAAAAAATAAGTATGTACGTATAAAAAAGTTATAGCAAGTTAAAATTAAATTTTACATGAAAAATTCATAACTAAAACAATTACATGACCTGACCCAGATGACTAATTCACCATATAACAAAAGATATATGAATCATTTTTTTTTTAGAATTGAAAAGGAAGAGTATTATTATTAGAACAAGCTAAAACTTTTCGGCTTACATGCATACACTTCATAAAAAAGAGCTAAAAATCATAGTTTTATACCTTAAGCTAGATCTTAACATTGATCCCAACAAGAAGACCCCAACATTGATCACCTTATCAATAATCATCCCCGTGCGCCACCCTCCTTCATCCGCTTCCTATGATGATCAGTAAATGATCTCAAACATTGAAGTTCCTTGGCAAAATGAGTCTCACAGACTATCATACCTTGAGCCAGATCTTCTTGGATACATGAGGAAAGCTGCAGTGAAAAACTTGAACGATATGTTGGAGATAACACCATCCCGAGATGAAGTAACATGCTTGACATGTTTACTAACTTCCCCACTTGTGACTTGCAAGGAAGAGTATTATTTTAGAACATTATTTTTTCTTTTGTAGGGATTACATAAAGTTGGTGCGCACAAATGGACGATCAAAATTCAACAAGAGAGTTAGATCTTGATAGGAATTTGAAGATGATGTTGACGATTATTGGTGGACGTCGTCGTCATTGGTGACAATGGTCAATGGTTGTCATTGATTGTCAACAGTGATAGCTATAAAATGTTAGAGAGCTCTTTAGTTCTCTTAATTTTTGGAACTCCCATATGTAGAGAATAAAACTATATTTATAGGCTTTTGGAAATAAACATTTTTTTATAAATTTAACTAAAATATAAAACAGTCTACATTGATTTCCTAAAGATTTAGAAGACACTTTTCTGTGATTTACCAATTTAAACAATTTATTTAAGAGCGGTAGGTTAAAGATATATAAAGAGCAAAATTTGTATTTTTATTTATTTATTTATGAACTATTGATTAATCCTAACATGTATTAGGTGTTTGCCGAAATAGAGTATGCCATGCGTATGACCATATGACTTTAAAAAAAAAAAAATTATTATGTATTTCATAATAGATGGCTTTAAGCTAAATAAATTGCTCAAAATTAGGGGTGTCAATATTTGACACTACACAAAAATCCGACTTGAATCCGAACTGAAAATTTCGGGTTAGACCCGACCCAATTTTGGAATGGGTCGGGTTCAGGTTGACCCGTAAACCCAAACTCAACCCGGGTTAACCTGGGAAAAATGAGTATGACTATTTGTGCCGCATCGCGCGAGCTCTCTGCCCACGTGTCAGTACCCGCATTGACCGCATCTGACTGCCCGCCTTGCCATCGCGTTGACTGCCCTCCTTGTTGAGTCAAGCCACTAACACCTCACCCAGCCTCCCGGCAACCCACACGGGTCGTCTAGGTTGAGAAATCCGACCCATATGCAAAAACGGTTCGAGTTCGGGTTGACTCAACTAATGTCAAATCAGTTCCGAGTTAGTCCCGAACCCGACCCATGATCCGATTTTGATAGCCATACTCAAAACAATACGGGAAACAAAAGTACATAGGATGATTTTTTTTTTACCCCCAAAGGGGATATTTTAACCAAAATGTGAAAATTTTATTTTAAAAAAAAAATTATATCAAAACATTAATATAATAAATTTCTCATCATATGGGCCTAATTGCTCTTAAATTTCTATCAAAATGAGTATAATTAATAGATGCAGCACTAGGGATTATATATATATATATATATACACATATTATACCTTCCCATATTATACGTTACCTAACATAAATGCTTTCATAATATGGAATTGTATAAGGTGATTACTTTTAGATTTGTTAAGATCATCTCCAATAAAAATAACTCATTTTTCACTTCAAAATATATTAACTCTAAAATACAATAACTTGCCTTCAATCAAACTCTATTTTTTAACACAAAAAGAAATATTATCTATATATTCTTTCTCAACCGAATTTTCTGATAAAAAAAGCGTCCATGAACAGTACGACGTCAATAAAGACGTCGCATTATTCACTTCGCGACATTGCTACGCGATCTGAAGATTGGTTGGAGTTGCCGGCGGTAGGGCTGCAAACGAACCAAGCCGAGCCGAGTATGTGTGTGCTCATGTTTGTGTTCATTTAATATTGTTCAAGTTTGGTTCATGTTTGTTCGAGCTTTATTGTTTGTGTTCATGTTTGGTTCATTTAAATTAATGAGTGTTCATGTTCGTTCATTTACTGCTTATCGAGCTTGTTCGCAAACATATTTAACGAATTTTTTTAACTATCAAACAAATACGTTCATGAACATTTCTATGAATAAACACATTTATAATAAAAGCAATTGTCTATGTAACAAAGGCAATGATTATTTATATTTATTAATTTTATAGTCAAATATTAATTATTTTAATCTAGCTTATTCACGAGTTCAAAATCGAACACGAATCGAGCTTTTATCGAGCTTAATGTCGAGCTTGTTCACGAACTTCAAATGATGTTGTTCGCAAACATAAATGAGTCGAACGCATTAGTGTTCAAGTTTGTTTATTTAAGAATCGAGTATTTAAAATATTGTTCAAGTTTGTTTGTTTAGCTAATTAAACGATCACAAACGAGCTTTAATCGAACCGAACAACGAGTAGCTCGTCGAACGTTTGGTTCGCTTGCAGCCCTAGCCGGCGGACTGCATATGCGCATAAAGTGATTTGTTGGAGATGGCCTAAGGAGTCGTTTGGAATCACTTTTAAAAATTTGTATTTTATTTTTATGCTTATGGCCAATGCCAGATTGGATAGCCCCAGCTAATGAAAGAAATGGTTTTGCTCTTATTAAAAAAAAGGGTTAATAATAATATTAAGAGCTAAGCAATAAAACAATTATAACAACTTGTGGAAGTGAGCTGTACAAAGTCAAGTGGAAAAGATTTATCAAATACTGGCGGTGAGCTTAGAATTCATTATAGAAAAGATCCATTAATAAGAATTCAGTGTGAGTCTCAGTTAAATCCAAATGAAAAAAGAAGTTTAAAATTTTATGGGCCTATTGAGGAACTTTTATTTGGTCCGGTAAAAGGACGTAGAGCTACGTTCGGCCGGCACTACATCGTGCCACGTAGCAGGCACAAAATCACGTATTTGTTGATTTTGTTCGGCAATAACGAAAAATACCATTATGTGAAGATAAATACCGAGCAATATCGAGTAATACCGAGCAATACCGAGCAATATCGAGTAATACCGAGCAACACCGAGCAATACCGAGTTTTTTCTAGAAAAACTCGGTATTACTCGGTATTGCTCGGTATTACTCGGTATTGGTCTTCACAGAGTGATATTTCTTGTTATTGCCAAGCAATACCTAGCAATACTGAGCAAATACTGGGTAACTCAGTGGTGACCGCACGTAGAGCTACGTCCGGTCACCGGACCTAATAATTGTTCCCTATTGAGGGAGTGTAGAATGTTGACGACAAGCAGAATTAAGATTAAATTGTAAAATTTCAAAATCTTATACCTCAATCAGGGTGTTAGGAAGTATAATCACACAGTCAAACAAATAAGGAAAATAAAGTGCAACCAAGAAGAAAGGACACCTAAATTTAATATTGAAAAATAAAAAATAAGGAAAAAATCACAGAACTACATCACACCAAGAAATTCATTATTAAAATTAAGAGAAATTGTACAAATCTATCTTCTCTCAATCTCTATTTTGTATCTTTTCACTTCATACATAATTTTACTAAAAGAGATATATTTAAAACATCCAAATGATGCAACTGTTTAAGTGAAATAAGAAAAAGAGGGAAGAAAAATTACCATGCCAGACTCGTAGCATCGCGGCGTAGGGTTTGGAGCATCGAAGCTTGCCACTCGTTATCTCGAGTCCAACCGACAAGGTCGCAGTGCTGGGAGTTGGAGTGCTGCATTATAACGACCCAAGATCTTCTCAGGACGATATTTTCTACAGTGCAGATCGGCCTGGACGATCTCCAATCGGCCCGGACGATCCTGGGAAAAATATCACTTTTCCCAGCAGCTACAGCAACAGCAAAGGAACGAGGTCTCACATGCATTGCTCCACTCTCTATCTCCAACCCGAATCTAAAGCACTGCATGCAGTATGGTTGTACATACAAAAAATCTTTTGGGGGGTTTCGCCTGCCCCTCGAGCAAGGGTGCACTCCCCCCTTACAACCCCCCAATAAGCATCTCATCGGACATAACCGATAAATTAAGATCTAAATCAACACTACAACACAATTAATCGACATAATCAAATTCCAAACAAAATTACACACTAAAAAGATGATGGATTTGGTTTCATGTCTTCCATCTCTTCGAAATCTGGTTGATAAAAGTGAAATGTCAAGGTAATGATATTGCATAAGCTATATCCTTCTTCTCTATTAGAGGACCCACTAGAAATTATAGCCTAAAGTCAAATCTAAAGGGCTTGAAAGAAAGAAAAAATAATAATTATTATGATCAAAATTGTTTGGTTTTTGAAAGAAGAAAAATTTTGAGATTCATTCTTATCATTCCAACGACTTTTGATCATAATTATTATATATATATATTAAAATAAATCTTAAATTTTTTAGAGGCGTGCTGATCAAATAATACAATTATGATGAATTATGATTTCATAGATATGTGCTCTCTCTCCATTAGCTTTTAGTATTAATTATTCTGTCTTCTCATGCTGTGCAGGGCAAGTTCTTTTTTAATGGTATTCGATGAGTTCTTCTCATTGGTGAGGTTTGAATCATTATGAGCATGAAAATGATCAAGTTTACTTTTTCTTTTAATTTAGGTTGATTAAGACAAATTTACGCACATATTATGCATATAAGACTCGAATAAATTTTTTTTTTATTGATAGTCAAAACTTTCAACCAACAGATCAAAATAAATTGTGTATGAGCAATTTTATCGCTCTGAAACATCTATAAAAAAAATACTTTAGTAGGTTCTTAATAAATTAGGATTTGGTTAAGATGTCCTCACTTATAATCACTTTATAAAAAGCCTGCCGCAAACGAACATGGGACCCATTTAAAGCCGCTAACTCCCTATAAAATGAATCCACGTAAGTTAAATGCTAAAGAACAATACCGCTCTAAAAACCAGAAATGAATCTGCCTCCGAAGTTCCCTTATTCCATCCCTCTCCTCCTCTCCCTCCTCTTCCTCCCCACCTCCATTTCTCACCACTCCCTCCTCCAATGCCTCTACAATCACTCCATTCCCCGCTCCCTCATCGTCACGCCCAAATCCACGAACTTCACCGCCACTCTCTTCTCCTCCGCTCGAAATCCGCGCATCATCTTCGACCACCACTCCCCCAAACCTTTTCTCATCGTCACCCCAACACAGGAATCCCACGCCCAATCCACCGTCCTCTGTTCTAAAAACCTCAACTTTCGACTCATAACCAGAAGCGGCGGCCACGACTACGAAGGCCTCTCCTACTCCACCGGCCTTGGCCCCTTCCTCATCCTCGACCTCTTCAACCTCCGCTCCGTCTCATTCAATGCCGATAACACGGTTTGGGTTCAATCCGGTTCCACACTTGGTGAGCTCTACTTTTCCATCGCTTCAAAGAGCCGAACTTTAGCCTTTCCCGCTGGATTCTGTCCAACGGTCGGCGTCGGCGGGCATATAAGTGGCGGAGGGATTGGTACCATCATGCGACAGCACGGCATCGCCGCCGACCACGTCGTCGACATCCGCATCATTAAAGCCGACGGAGAGATCTTGGAAAGGGAATCTATGGGAGAGGATCTCTTTTGGGCGTTGAGAGGAGGAGGCGGCGCGAGTTTTGGAGTCATACTCGCCTACAAGATAAATCTCGTCCAAGTCCCTCCAAAGGTAACAGTTTTCTCCAAAAGCTTAACTTCTTTGCTGGTGGCCACCAAAGCTGTCGCCAAATGGCAGCAGGTGGCTTACAGAGTAGACAAAAGGCTGTACATCAACGCACTTTTGAACGTGACAAATAAGACCCCGCAAGTCACTTTTAGCGGCTTGTTCTTGGGTGAGCTGCCTGAGCTGCGCTTAATCATGGAGCAGAGCTTACCAGAGTTACAAATGGCCATTAAAGACTGTAAGGAGATGAGTTGGGTTGAGTCCCTGATAATCTTCTCTACCATTCCTGTATCGAGCATAAATAGCAGCCAGCCTTTAAGCATTTTGCTTGATAGAAATCCAAGAACACTCAACCTTTCCTTTAAAGTGAAGTCAGATATAGTTACAGAGCCCATTGCAGAGCAGAGCTGGGAGGAGATATGGAAGTATCTTCTCAGAGGAGAAGAGCAGCTTGTGATGCTAATAGAGCCATTGGGAGGAAAGGTTGCAGAGATAGCAGAGACTGAGACTCCATTTCCTCACAGGAATGGAAGTTTGTTTGTGATACAGTATTTGCTGGTGTGGAACGGGACGGGAGAGAAAGTAGCAAAGAAGCATATTAATTGGTTGAGGGGGTTTTACAAATTCATGGCTCCATTTGTCTCAAAGAAACCTCGATCTGCTTTCCTTAACTTTAGGGATCTGGACTTGGGACGAAACACTGAAGGGATGATAAGCTATGACAAAGCTAAAATATGGGGGAAAAAATATTACAGAGTCAACTTCAAGAGACTTGCATATGCCAAGTTTAAGGCCGATCCGGACAATTTTTTCAAGAATGAACAGAGCATCCCGCCCTGGATTTTTTAGCATACATATTTCTGTTGTAGGTTTTGTTTGTCAATGTTTTTTTTATTCATTCTTAAAATAAAATTTTAGTATAAAAATTTTAATTTTTATACTAAAAAATTAATTTAAGAAGCAGTAAGAAAGCTGCCACAAATGAAACCTTATGTGAAGGCCTCATTTTGGGCAGCTTAATTACTACGATTTATATTTTTAAATTATGAAATTAAATTTAAGCATGCCTTTGAATATTCTGCTTTTATTACAATTATTTTTTAATAACTCTATTTAGAATTGAAATTTGATCGCATCTTTTTTTTGAGATATTTAGTCAATTAAAATAAACTCACATATATAAATATTATGTACACAATTATTCTAATACTATGTATTTCTTATTGCTAAGACAATTATGCTATTTTTTACATACTTATCTAATATAAAATAACTAAATTAAAAATAAAATAAAATGACCAACTCTTACAAACACATGGGCTGCATGGATCTAATAATCTTTAGCATGTGAAATTTACTAAATAATACTTGTTTTATGATTAGGAGAGCAAATAAGTAATTAATTGTTCCTTCAAATATAAAATTTTAATGTGATACCATATGGTGTTGTAATTTAATTGAGAAGGTTAGAATCTTGGGACCCAACACAAAGTACCAATCATTCATTCAAGTGAGCATTGAGAGGAAAAATTTTAAAAATAAAAATAAAACAAAAGTAAAAAATAATAATAAAAAAACATAATAAAAAAAAGTGAGCATTAAGAGGAAAATTTCAGAAAATTAGCCATATTTTTGAGGATGGGTTGATTGAAATTTTAGTATTTTTTTTTTACATAGCACAATAATTACAGACATTTAATTAAATATCTACATAAATAATGGAATTTAAAATCACCAAACCACAAGATCGAGGAAAAAAATGCAATTGAGAAAAATGAGCAATGTAGGGAATTTATGACCAGTATCAAATATACCTTCTTATAACCCTTGGATGATTGTTTATTTTAGGGTTTTCTTCCTGTAATTTCCAATCTAGAATAATTAGCTTGTGTTCCATACTTCCATCGATCCTCTAGTTATCATCTAAGGTGATATGAATCATTTACTTTATCTTTATGACATTCAAAAAATGAATTAAAGTGTAAAATCGAATACACTGTATAATAGGAGTGTCAAAACAGGTCGGCGGGTCGGATTTGGGTCGAATCTGAGTTGACCCATGTGTAAATGGGTCAACCCGAACCCGACCCGTATGGGTTACGGGTTGACCCGACCCATACGGGTTACGGGTTGACCCGACCCGAACTGCATACTCGGATGCAAACAGGCGAGGCCAACCAGCGCGGGCTCACCGGCTCAGGAAGTCAGGTGGTAGACAAGGCCACCGCGGGTGAGGCGGTGTCGAACCGGAGCTGCCTGCCAGTTTAAAGCAGCTCAGGCAGAATGACGAACAACGGAAGTCAGAACATGCAAGGCTCTCAGCTCTCATGAGAGACGTTGCACGACTGGCAGTGGCCCACGGCCTAAAGCGACGACGACTGTTGCTTGGACGGCTGATTAACGTACAAACATGACGCAATGGAGACACAACTTGATGCAGTTAGTTCACAGGTCAAATGGGGTTAGTTTCAGGTTTTCGGGTCAACCCGAACTCGATCCGTTTCTCAAACGAGTTGACCCTAACCTAAATTTTTTTTATCAGATTTTCTGGTCATGCCAAATATTAACACCCCTACTATATAAGTTCTCAACCAATAGATCAAAGTGAACTCACAGTATATCAGATGCAACCCATTTTAATATGTTCATTGGAAGCTTAAGTTATCAACTAAAAAGTATAAAATTCGAAATATATATATATATATATGTTTGTCAGATCTAGTCTTACATCTCCCGCTTTGTTCCATCCTACATGTTGATAGTTAAGTAGTTTGAGGAAACAAATCAAATAGACAGATAAAATGTAGGCATTTATATATTTATTTGAAGGTATAGATTGCTGCGCTACGTAACTTCCGTTTAGAGCTTTCTATTATTTAATGGAGAACGGGCCCGTGAATTAATTAATGAGTGGGTGAGAACTCGTGAATTCAATTTCCTTTTAACGCACATAATCGGCTTCGGTTTCGAGAAATTTTTTTTCATCAGCTAACAACTTACATCATGAAGATGGGGCATTGGGGTTTTCATCAATCGGGCTGTATGACATTGACTTCTACGGTTATGCTTATATATGTATTAGTTTGAGTAAATTAAATCAAACTTGCACACATCTAATACTCAAATTTAGAAAGATTATTTCGTGTGGAATCCGAACGGGAAAAAATCATTCGAACTGTGAGTGTACAAACAGTATTTACATAATTTGAACCAAATTGTGTTAAAAACAGTACAGAGTGGGTACGGCCTAGGGGTGTCAATTTCGGGTCACGGGTCGGGTTCGTGTCTAACCCGAAATGACCCGAAGCTAAACGGGTTGACCCGAACCCGACCCGGTTTTGGATACGGGTCACTATTCAAGACCCGAACCCGACCCGAGTCGGGTTCGGGTCAACCCGGATTGACCCGCTAACCCGAGTAATTTTCATTAATATCTCAAAAAAAAAA